TGTGATCATATTAATTTTCAAATAAAACAGTTGAAAGCCGTCTCCTTAGGTGCCTGTGTGTTTAGAACGGAGTAAGGACTCCTGGCTAATTTATCTGTGTCATCTTGTGGCGACTTCCCTGCCTACAACACAACTTTCTTTGGTTTAACATCTCTTTGTTCTGATGGGACAGCCGCTCTACTTTGTTTGAACAGCTTTTTCTGAACTCACTTTTCTACCCGTTAGCTCTTAGCCTTGTCTGTTGTAGTAAAACCTACCTTGACTTTTAGCTGGTGAATCCGCCTCTCTGTTTAACTGGCAAACGTTAACATCTGTTTATTTATTTATTTATTTATTATTTTATTATTATTATTTTATTTTTTTAAATGTTTTTATTTATTTTTGAAGGAGAGAGAGACAGAGCATGAGCCGGGGAGGAGCAGAGAGAGAGGGAGACAGAATTTGAAGCAGGCTCCAGGCTCTGAGCTGCCAGCACAGAGCCCGACACGGGGCTTGAACTACGAACTGTGAGATCATGACCTGAGCCGAAGTCAGCCGCTCAACTGACTGAGCCACCCAGGCACCCCTGTGAACATCTGTTTAAACTGGAGTCCCTCAACCTTGGCATTAGCGACATTTTTCTGGGATAATTACCGGAGGCAGGGCTGTCCTGTTGTGGTAGTGGAGGCACATCCCAGGGTCCCCCTGCGAGACACCAGTACGCCCTCCGGTCATGACCCCCGGGGACAGGGCAGCGCCACCCTTGCTTGAGAATCACTGACTCACAGAAGCCTTTTCTGGCTTCTTGGTTTATTTCCACCCCTCCCCCTTCTTCTGTGTTTATGGCTCAGTTTTGTTGCTGGATCTAAGGCCCGGGGTGCCCACTGAGAAGGTAAGGAACGACGGTATTTGCTCCCCATCACTTGGTGGGTGTCTCCAACGCCGGGATTCCTTCTTTCCCCCATGAGGTCTTCCTCCAAAATGTTCTCGAAGTGCTTTTCTTTGGAGGTGTGCCTTCCGGAGCCTCAGTGCCCGGGAGTATTTCTCCTGTCCTCACACTTAATGGCGGTGTGTCGGATATAAAACGCGATTCGCTGTCGCTTCTGCGTCCAGAGTCGTGATGACAGACTGTAGGGTCTGCCTGACACTTGTTTCTGTGTCTGTGACCTGCCCCCTGCCCCTCTCTCAGAGCTTTGATATCTTAAGGATTCACCTTGATTTCTCCATCTGTGTTTTTAAGCTCTATGCCCCTGTGCGTTCCGTGGAGCCTGTCAACCTCAAGTCTTTCAGTTTTTTTCTTACACTGAGAAACGTTGGACGTCTGTGGTCTGGACGCGACGTCCCTGCTTCCAGCCTCCACTGGTGTCCACTGTTCCTTTTATGTCCCAGTTTCTTCTTCCGTGTAAGACGGGTCCTCAACTGTATCCTCAAGGACATCTTCACTAGATAGCCGTTCTGTTCTGTGTTCCATGTATTTGTTCTTTGTTTCAACTATTAGACGGCACCTGCCCCTCGTGCCTTGTCTTTCCTCCCTCTCACGTTGTAAGTTAATACCTCCCTGGCTCTTCAAACCTGCGCTCCCACTGACAGTTGCAATTTTGTTTCCAATGGAGACCATCTGCTTTTTTGTTACCTGTTGATATAATGGTGCTGCTCAAAGGTCTTGCAGCTGTGAACTCCTGCTGCCCAGGGCACCGCACCCCTGCCGTGTGGGTCTGCGTCCCCGCCTGAAGCCCTGGTGGACCGAGACTCTGAGATCATCATTCTGGGAGTCAGCACTCGTACCACCTGGCTGGGGGAGGAGCCTGGGGAGCAAACACTCCAGATGTCACCTCCCCGATGGCACCTGCCTGAGTGGAAGGGACACCCTGAGCTTGTAACCCTTCACTGCTCTGCCAGGTGACCCTGAACCTGTGGGGCAGGGCTGAGGGTTCCCAAGCAGTGGGGGCAGTGGTGGGGCAGAGGGACAGTGACCCCTCTCCTGTGGCTGCTTCCTGCTTCACAAGGTGTCTCTGGGCACCCCCCCTACACCCCCGTTTAAAACAGCCTCAGGCTGCCGGCTCCGACTCCTCAAGTGTCCAGTGACCTTGACATTCTCCTAGGACCCCTCCATGGCTGCCCGGAGGGACCTGCCTGCAGGTGTCCCCCACCTTAACTGTATGGAGATCCTGGTGTCCCTCCAAAACTGCCTCCTCCCGTTTGCTTCTTCAGTTGGGGCGCTGTCTTGGGTAACTCAGTCTGTGTCCTTCTTAGCCCCCACATCCAGTCTGCAAGTAGGGAGCCCTGTGTTCAAAATATGCCCCGACTGCACCTCATGGGCCCCCGGGGGCAGCAGGGGTCTGGACGGCAGTGCTGGGCTGAGGCCTCCCTGTGCACAGCGGCCCAGCACTTCCCTCTGCGGCCACCCACATACCTCCGACCTGGGCCCTGCGCACCACCCCCCCCCCCCCCACCTCCCACCCTCCTGTGCGGCTGGCTTGGTGGCCCCAGCACCAGGTGACTGGCCCCTGGCCTCCTTCCTTCGGTCCCATGACTCTTCCGTGTAAAACACAGAAAAGGAAAGGATGGGCCAATGAGGCCATGGGGCTCCCACACCCCTCACTGCGTCTCTGCAGAGCTGGGTCCCCACCAGCGGCACATCCCATGCATCAGTCTTGCCGGGTGTCTTTCTTGACAGGACCAGTGGTTTTGCACATGTTGTTCACCACCCGCGGGCCCTGTCCCAGAACACACAGTGTAGACAAACAGTCCTGGTTGAATTGGGGGCCAGCAGAGGCAACTGCCAGGGTTGGGAGAGTGCCACTCTGCGGGGAGGGTGGGGGGGAGTGGTGAGCCGTGGGAGCTGGGGCTGAGGGCTGGGGGAGTCGGGCTGTCACCTGAGCTACAGCAGCCCCGACTCCCAGGAGAGGCAGGCTTTTCCACATGGACAGGAATTCATTCGTGTCTCTTGGAAATTGTTGAAATTGCATGAAGTGCAAGTAAAACAAAGCCACTACCTACATTTGTGCAACCAGGGCTGACATTATGCTTTATTTCCCTCTAGCTGTGCATGTGTGTACGTGTGCCTGTGTGTGCTCTGTGGGCACGTGTGTATGTGTGTGTGCTCTGTGCGCTCACCTGTGGGCACGAGTCTGGAAGGAACGCTGGGCTCCAGGTGTCCGGCCGCAGGAGCAGGACAGGAGCAGGACAGGGGCGTCTCTGGCACAGAAGCCCCCTTCCCACGCCCTCCTCATTCGTGATTCATTCTTCCATGTGTGGGTGTGCTGCTCTGACCCCAGAGGGTGCTGGGGCGGCTGTGTCCCCGGGCCTGGTGCGGCACATGGTCAGACACGCTCATTTCTATGAGTGTCTGGGGGACAGTGGCTGGGGTGTGGGGGGGGGGCTGAGGGCAGGGGCAGGGAGTGGGCACAGGATGGAGATTGAGGGGGACACACGATGCCGCATTCCCCACAAGGCAGCCCGGGGCCCGGTGGGGGCGTCACACGCAGCCCACAGCGCCTCAGGGGCCTGCTGAGCTCCTGTCCCCGATTCCCACACCTGCCAGACTGGTGCACCCCCCGCGGCCCCCTGGCACCTGCTGTCCCCACGGGCTTGCTGTGCTCACCAGCTCCTTCCCCTCGGGCTCACCACTGTGCAGGCACAGCCCCCACCCACCCGTGGCCTGTCCCCCTACCCCACACGCCACCCCTGAGCTCCTTTGCGCTGTGACAGCTCCAGAGCTCCAGGCCAGCCCGCCCAGCAAGGCCCTATCCTAGATGCTTCTTTAGTGGGTTAGTAATGGCTCTAAACAGCCAGTTCCATGACATGTGGTTCATCCTTCCGCGCCCGGGGGCCCCTGCTCAGAACTGGGACCGGCTGGCTGCTGCCAGGGCTGCTGAGGGGGGCGCCGGCCCAGCATCTCCGGGTCTTGTCTCCTCCTGCCTCGTCCACTGCCCTCCAGGCAGGGGCTCAAAGGGCCATGGGAAGAGGTGGTCCAGGGTGGGTTCCCCCGCCCAGCAGTGAACACTACCCAACGGGGACAGGTCAGCAGGGAACACCACCTAAATGCAGTGAGGAGCATCGGCCATCTGCTGGGCACGCCCTCGGCAGAAACGGGGCCACGATCCGCCTCTTAGGCTGCAGGTTCCCAGCAGGTGTGGTCTGATGCCACTGTGGGGCCAGCAGAAACCTGGGGGGGGGGGCTCGCTGGGGTTTCCCCTGCCCCGGGTATCCCCCGCCCCGGGGCGGACTGGCAAAGGCATTTGTTAACAGACACTTGCTCTATGCTCAGGACATCTTCCCCACTCTGCATTATCTCACTAACGACACAAAGCCCAGGGTCAGTCACTAACACGGGGCAGGGGGGGTTCTTTATGGTAAAAACTTTATTTACTATTTATAAATACAATGCAAGACAAACTTTTCAAAAATACCTTTTTTTTTTTCCAAAAACTTAATTAAAAAAATAAAGGAAAGCTAATAGGTAGGCAGAAGGTCTTGAGACCCCTTTGTGTTCTCAAGGAGGCCGTGAGCCACCCGTGCGACCACCCGGGGCCTCCCCCCCCCCCCCCCGCCCCCGCTCGCCTGCCGGAGCTCCGCTTCCCGGTGGAGGCTGTTTCCCACTCTTCTCTAGTGTCTCGTCTATGATGACCTCGCACGGGTTCTAGCGTATCTGGGGAACAGCTCGTGGAGAACATACTTCCTCTGCGCCCATGTGTGACTTAGGGGGGGACGAGGCCAAGTGTGGGGGGCGTGCCCCCAGCGTCCCCGACAAGCCATCCGTCTTTGTAGGTAATAAAACCATTTTTACTCTTTTTACATCGTGCCAAGGAGGACAAAGGCGAGAGAATAAAATAAACATCCTTTGCCTTTACAGAGCTTGTCAAAAAAACAAGAAACCCTCTTTCTGGAATTGCTGAACAGGAAAACGCTATTTTCTGCGGTCATCAAAGAACCTTGCTCTCATTCCAGGGGAGTCCTGCTGCCCCGGTCCCCCACCCCTGCAGCCAGCAGCAAAGGCCAGTCACCCCCCTACCCCCGCGTGTCTCTGGAGTTGTTCCCTAGAACATTCTGGGTCTTTTTCCTCTTTTTTTTTTTTTTTACACGTGAGACTCCACCTGCGCTCTCTGCCAGTTCCCCAGGACAGGCCACTTGCAGGTTTGCAAGATCTCTGTCGCTGGAGCCGGGACGTCCAGACAGCAGGGTGTGGGGTCCCCATTCTTGCAGAACAGAGGCCGAGTGGGGACGGATCGTGCACTCTACAGAGGTAACAACTGCTCAGTCTTGAAGCGGAGGGCCAGCCGTGCCGGCGGACAGGTGGGGACAGCCCCCGGGGACAGGCGGGGTCCGGCCGCGCTGTGCTTGACTTACACGAACTTTTAAAGGAAGCAAGAGGAAAGGCCAAACTGTGTCTCACAGACTCCCGGGGAGTGCAAGGGGCTCCAATCCACCATCCAGAAGAACCCTAGCGCTGCAAACATCTCTTTCTAAACTTTGGTTATAGGAAAAATCAATTCACCACAAAAAGAAATATAAATTGGGGCTGTAGCCAGCTGATCATGTCCTTGGCGGTCTCTTGTGCAAAATAAGGCGTTTCTGAGCTCCACGTGAACTAAAACAGAGAAACAGGTTGAAATAACTCCCCCACGTCAAAAGGCTCAATTCCTGCCCTGAGATAACGGGGTTCGAGACCCAGGCAGCCAGCACGTCGGCGGGGGGGGGGAGGGGGGGTGGGGTGGGGGTGGTGGCTTGTCCCACACACCCAGCAAAGCAAAGAGCACCCGCCAGTGGGGACATGCTGGTGGAGTCCCCCATCACCCAGAATCGTAACTTCTTTCTTTCCCGCGGGAAGGGAAACAAACGTAACTCGACAGGGAAATTTCCTCTATTTACTTCAATTTCTCTTGAGGAGACCAAACACTCTGTTTTCCCCAACGGCCCTCTCATTTATTAAGAGAGAAAATAGTATCGAACAGGACGGCATTCTTCAAAGGCAGGGTTTAAAAATCTCATTTTTGTGTTAGGCGCAAAACACACTTTGCTACCATCCTACCAATCACAGACTGTCGGAATATCCCCGACGTGTTTTACAGAAAAGAACAGCCATGCCACTGAGTTGGAAGCATGTTCCTAGAGCAAGTCCCTGTGGATCAGACAGCCGCCAGGAAGGTAAACCACCCACAGCCGGCGGGAAAAGCTCACTTTTGGAATTCTCTGCATGTGTGTGAACGTAACACGTCCAAGATCCTTCAAGCGAGGGAAGGGGCCTTGGAGACACCCTGACCTCAGACCCCAGTTCCCTGGGCTGCGCCCTGCGGAAGGGTCTGTCCCCCACTCCCGAGATGCTGGGACCCCTGAGCCCAGGCCCCCAGGCTTACGTGGTGAGCAGTGTCTACTTGCTGTCCATGCTATAGCAGTGAACGTCACCCTTCCCCCTGGCGTCGAAGCCCGGCAGCGGCTGCCCGTACTTGTCCACGCACCAGCAGAAGCCTCGCTTCCTGCCCTTGGACGGGCGGCACTGTGGGAGGGCGCAGGGGACACAGTGAGCCCGGAGGCGCCACCACGGGGTCCCGACCCATGGAGGCTCTCTCAGGGCCCTCTGCACTTGCATGTAGGAGTGAGTCCTCCGGAGAGGCAGGGCCAGGGCAGTCTGTGTCTCTCGGGCCTCGGGGATGCCTGCAGGCACACCTGGGGACTGGGGCACACATCCCCCAGTGCACCTGCGTCCCAGGGCGCACAGCAGCTCGGAGTGCACGTGTCCCAGACTGCCCGCCAAGAGGCCCACCCGGGTTCTCGGTGTGGGTCTGCTGAGCGAGTGACCAATGGGGATGAACGGGGAGCAGAAGTGCTGCTGGTGAGCAGGAACAAGCGTGAAGGTGAGATGGTGGCCAGGGCAGACAGGCCGTGGGACCGAAGCCAGGGCCACAAGCACCTTGGCGGCGGCCTCGCGAATCCTGCAGATCCAGTGGGGCCGTAATGCAGTACCAGACCCACAGAGATGCACTTATCGTGGCTTCAAGTAACAACGCCGCCCACGTGTCAGGACCCCTGGGCGGGATGGGCCGGTGGGGGGTGTCTCAGGGACACTGTTTGGCCCGCGACCTCACGTCCCTATGATGGTTATGCACAATGTTACCCCTGACACAGTGCAGCTGTGTCCCTGTGCTGTCACACTTAACCAAGGGCCCCGGGGGGGCGGGGGACAGCACACTGCCCGTGGGCGGGGGGAGGGCATGTTGGCCTCCCGTGGGCATCAGGCATGGGATGCTCGTGAGGACGCCACTCACCTGCTTTTTCTTGTAGAAGCCCTTCCTGTCGCAGTTGGGGATGTGGACGCCCCTGGGGCTGAGTGTGTCCAAGAACTTGAGGCGGTTCAGGGTGTCCTCCACCTCCCGGCGGCAGGGCCCCTGAGTGGGGGGGAGCCACGGGTCACTTGGGAGCGCTAGCGGCCTCACGCAGCCCCACACACCCTCCGAGGGACCTGCTGTGCCATTCTCACGAGGACCCCGACTGTGGCTCCTGGTCGTGAGGTCCCCTGAGCAAGGCCTGGGGACGGAGTCACCGCAGGTCAGAGACCAGGTGCGCAACATACCGCCAGCCTCACGGACCATCTCTGTGCAGGGCACTGGGGCGCTCCTGCTCATGTCATCCACCTAGACCCCCAGAAGTTCCCCACGGTGGGAAGAGTCACCCAGTGCCTGGGGCTGGCATCCACTGCCCCCTAGGAGGGGGGAGGAGGAGGAGAGGGAGGAAGGGGGAAG